AAAAACTCTTATTTTAATCCATTATAAGATTACACATTGACTTCTAATACTTAACCTATCGAGCTAATCCCAATCTAATTCTAATTCTAATTTATTAATAATTAGGCAGTATTAATCTAAATGAATTAGTTGCATGTAGTCAGAGATCTTAGTATACATCTTCGCTTATGGCTTACAACGCATGTTCAAATATCACGTAAAAACACGTATTTTCATCATCTATTATAAGTCTCTTTCTTAGAGCCCTTTTTTGCTTTTGCGTGACTGTCTGATTTCTTCAACAAAGTTTGCGTGACATAAATATATTTCCTCCATTTTAATCCGTCAATAGCATTTTAATCAAAATTATTCCGATTAATATGATTATGTTAAAATTTCTAACCATTAATCTATGTAAATAAACAGAAATTGAGGAGAACCTATTTTGAGTTGATGTGAAAACGTTTCAACAACGCCTACTAAATATAGTTCACTTCATTGCTAATGGTGTATTATTTATCTCCGCATCTCTTTCTTCGCTCCTACAGCTGCCAACTTGAGATTAAGACCCTCCCCTACTGTTCTTCATACGTTTACATACTCCTAAAATTTGTAACACTCTGTATTAATATCATGAATATCTCTATATACATTCAAAGATATCCAGCTGGGAAACTGTAGGTTTGGGAGATTTTTTCTCATAGTATTTATTGCTTCTATAGAAAGTGTGAATTGTTTCTTTTTTTTAATGAGGGTAAAATGGATATTTATTTTTCTTTGTTAACAGATTGTAATGAGAAGGACAAATAAGATATTACATTTTATCAGTCTTTTTATTAACACTGCTCTGCAATCAATATAATTATACCGACTTAATGATTTCGATAGAAGTAAATTTGAACGATTTCAATGTTACGTGAGAAATCAGTTTCTCCTTTTAAATCTATTACAGTTTGGGTCTATCCGTCCCTCAAAGGTGATAATTTTATGCAATATTTTAAATAATATAAATCTTATGTTTTAATGTTTCGGGAAGATTATTGCCTTTCGTGATATTATCCACTATCTGATGATCCTTAGTACCAAAAGCAATTTTTGTCTAATAGAGAAGCTTTGAGGGCAAAATGTCTACACGCAGCATAAGAAGTGTTTAAAAGAACATTACGCTTTCTAATGATTTTCTTTTATAATTGTGTTCCCAGATATAAATATGCACGTGTGACCATTCGCCGGTGCATTGGATAATGCTGTCACATCTTGTCTGGTGTCCCTGCTATTCATCTGGAGGTACTTGACAAATTCCAAAGAAGGATCAGCAAACATAATCGATACTGAATGAGCATCTTGACATCAGTCACTTTCTCACCAACGTGTCGTGGATTCTATCTGTCTTTTCTACGAATATTTTCATGGCAACTGCTCTGACGAGTTTTTGTCTCTGTTGCCCCGACTCCATGAATTTAAGCGTGCAACTAGATTAGCATCTAGGGCCCAATTGTTTACTGTTGAAATAGCTAAATGTAACTACCATTTTTACTTCAACAATTTTTTCTCGCACTTTCCGGTTGTGGAACGCTGTTCCGTTTATTTGCTTCCCTGATAAATAAAATCTTCAAAAATTTAAATGCAATGTCAATTGTCATTTTCTAAATTCTTTGAATTCTGTTCAGTTTGTCTTTTTATTTTGTCCTCCCTATACCAATTTTTTTTCTCTCACTTTCACCCTCTGTAACCCCCAGCGTCCTCGTGGAATTCTCGCCTTGCTTGGGGTGAAATGGCATTTCTTCTTGCTGACCACCATCTTGTATCAATACCGGCTCAATATTAGCGCAAATGACTTGTTAATTATTGCATAAGATTGGACAAATAAATTTTCTTTTGAAATGTATTTAAATCGAAGAGGATGCGCATAGATTCATGAGAATAATTTCTACGAATATATCGAGGTTTATAAATAAGATTTCTGCATGAGAGAAAAAAAAATACTCACTCTATAGACTGAATATGCATTTGGAATTTTTTCACGTTTTTTCGAATGAAAACTTTGGAGATTTCATATAAAGGCGCTAGATTCTTTAAAAATAGAAAGACTAAATATAATCACAGTTCGACATCTGAAACCAACATATTATTCATTTCTCTCATTACATTCAGGAAATTGGTTGCATCAAATCTTGTAATTATTGTAGTTGCCTAAATACAACTATTTTGTTTTATCATAAGGATAATCATAATGTAAATTAGCAATCATCATTAATAAGTATTTGGAGAAAACTATTTTATCAATCTATGACCCAATAAACTTTAAATAGAACATTGTTTTATGCAGGCATTCTTACCCATAAATTAAAATCGTGTTTATTAAGATATGAACACAGAGATGTCGTACAATTACAGATTACATTATGTAATCCAATAACGTCATCCAATAACACTTAAAATAATTTGAATAAGTAAAATAATTTAAGATTAAAGACTTGCTTTATATAATGTATTTTAAGAAATATCCACCCATTGGCCAGTTTACACCTGAGCAAATATTTTATGCAAATTTCTAATCAAGCAATGATGTGGCAACAAAATAATGGATAAAGGAATTTACGCAAGGACATCATGACCTGCTGAATTTAATTTCCTTCATTACTATTAGAAGAATAGTTAGGATTATTGGTGCCAGACGGTCGGATCTGTGTATTTCCCAAATTGCTGATCTAATAGGATTTTCACTCATAACCATTTACCGGATTTATAGAGAGTGGTTTAAAAAAAGAAAATAAATTCCAAAGAGCAATTATGTGGGCGCAGAGAATTTGTTGATGAAAGTAGTCGCAACAGAAGGCCAGATTCAGTCAAGGAAAGACAAAGTCAACAGTAGCTCAACTGCCCTCACATTACAATAGCCGTAGAGTGCAGTTCGACCTGGTATACTGCTTAGCAAGATTGTCTCGCTACATCAATTACGACTATTTAGTGAATTCACTAGATCAATTACGAGTGTTCAGTGAGTTCGATCCTCCCTGGTGTTCCATTCTTTCGGCCTTTTGTCACATCTAAGCTACGTTGAGAGTGGTTGAAAAAATAAATTCCAAAACCGGCACATATATAGGCGCAGAGAATTTTTTGATGAAAATAGTCGCAGAAGAATGTCAACGAGAGTCAATGGCAACAATAGCTCATTACAGTAACCGTGATTTACTGGTTAGCAAGAGTGTCTCGCTAGAACAATTATGAGTGTGCAGTGAGTTCGATCTCCGCTGATGCTTCATACCTTTGGCCGTGTATCATATATAAGCTACGTTTGGAAAATCATTTAAGAGCACTTGCACATGGTGTAATGGTAAGCCCGTTTGTCTCGCAAAAACAATTACGAGTGAGTAGTAAGCTTAATCATCACTGGTACTCCATACTTTAAGCCTTGTGCCACATCTAAGCTCAGCTTAGGAAAATCACCATTAAAATAGCCATATTATGAGCAGCTTATCTGAACGCCCAGAACGTCGAACATTGAAAGAGATCGTCTGCAGTAGAAGACGATGTAATATGCCAAATCTAGCAGATAACAATAAAAGTATATTCAGAATAGAATTCTCTAAGGAAAATCGAATTTCGTCTTAAATACTAGTAAAATGTTACCTGGTCTAAAGTGGTTCAATGTCTTCTGCGACATTTGGATAATAAATTTGGTTCCATCCTGCCTTTTTTCAACAGTTCAGGCTAGAGAAATCATAAAGTAAATATTAGTGAATTGGTAAAGGCTATAATTTCTTCGTATACATTGGGAAAGTTCATAACAATGTTTTTATTGCGACGGACTTCACAGTTATTGTGGCTGCCCACATGTCTCAATTTGTGACTGTGGCGCACCTGTCAGCTGGTGGCCACACCCGAAAAGCACCATGTCTTAAATTTAAATTAGTTGCCGTTTACTACGAATGATGTAATTCTTGTAACTACTTTTGTATGTGGTTGAAAACGAGATTTGACACCTGAACATGAAGCCAACCAATCTAGAAAAATTGTAGAATGGCATAACTAACGAACGGAAACAAGTTTCGAGAGAGTGCTTTACAGAATATCCTCTATTCCAGACTTAGAGAAACTTAGACGGTTCTAAAATAAAAACGGTCGAAACAGATATTACAAGGATATACCTAAATTAAAATCGGTTTGGTACGTTTCGGCGTAGCCCATTTGGCATCGCTGATTCGGCGCCAGATAAATAATTGGACTACTGCACAACCGTTTACGCGTCAGACTGTTTCGACGTCACTGTCTTTGATCGTAGGCACCTTCTCTCCAAAAAACCATTGAAAACGCCCAACTTTCAATATGACTCTTTATTCATTTACGGTATTAACGATCCTATAAAAACACTAATGGAATAATGTAAATTAAAATTTTGATATGTAATCTCACTTTACATCGATCTTTCTGTTCACTTCGCGAAAACTTGAATTCTTGCTGGTTGCGTCAACAATAAAAAGGTATTCATCGTGTTTCTTCCACGTTTTGCTAAAATGTTTGCCTCCATTTTGTAATAAAAGGGCTTTGACGACTGAAAAATATGAATCTGCAGTTAAGGAAATATAATATAAAATTACATTCAACCGCTCTTTTTCTTAAATTTTAAAAATGCCCTCAACTACACTTTTTCTTAAATTGAACTATTCGTATATATAACGACAAAGTACTAATTTCACTACTAAATGAGAGAGAGAGAAAGAGGGCGTGCGAGAGAAAGAGACCAAATTTGACTATAATGACGAAGTAGTAATTTGACGCCTAATTGTCACTATGCTAAAAAAAATTCCTATATTGAAATTGTTAAATATGTGCTGTCTGTTAAGAAATTCAGTAGAATTGATGCTATGTATTTCCAGATACTTGACAAAATACAAAGAAGAATCTGTAATGTTATTGTTCTTGACCTATTATCTCGGTTTCAGTCAATTTCCCACCGTCATAAAGTATTTTTCCCCTAACTTTTCTATAAATATTTGAAAGATTTACGAATACATCACGTTGAAACACCGGTTCTCGTAAGATCACCGAAGTTAAGCAATGTTGAACCTGATCTGTACCCAGATGGATGATCGCTTTGAAATACCAGGTGTTGTAAT